GCGGGGGCACAGGGGGCTGGGGCCGGGTGACCAGGAGCGCGGGAGGTCGGACACCTGTGCCTGAGAAGGTGCTGGAAGTGCCCGCAGGAGACGTTGGGACACCCCTCATCCCAGCGGAACTCTGACTCGTCTTGTGATCTGTGTCCGCAGTCTAGCATGAACTTTTCGAGCTGTGAGTATGGCAGAATGTGCTAGACAGGGAAAAGGAAGTTTCATTAAATATTTATGTAGTGGTGGTCTTCAGGCAAGTGTGGAAATGTAGGTGGGGGAGCTTCTCATTTAGAAACAAAATACAGGGGTACCTGACTGGCTTGACCTCCGGGTTGTAAATTCCAATCCCATGTTCTGTGTAGAGATTGCTTAAAAATAAAATCTTTTTGGGGGCCCCTGGGTGGCTAAGTCAGTGGAGCATACCATTCTCGATTTTGGCCCAGGTTATGATCCCAGGGTCATGAGATACAGCCCCTCCTCCAGCTCTGTGCTCACAGCGCTGAGCCTTCCTGGGATTCTCTCTCTCTCTCTCTCTCTCTCTCTCTCAAATAAATAAACTTAAAAGTAAATAAACAAGGGGCGCCTGGGCGGTACAGTTTGTTGGGCGTCTGACTTTGGTTCAGGTCATGATCTCATGGCTTGTGAGTTTTAGCCCCTCATCAGGCTCTGTGCTGACAGCATGGAGCCTGCTTGGGATTCTGGGTCTTTCTCTCTCTCTCTCTGCCCATCCCCCAACTCATGCTCTGTCTCTCTGTCTCTCAAAAATAAATAAAACATTTTAAAAAAACATTAAAAATGAATAAAATCTTCTTAAAAATAAAAGCATAATAGTCGATTGAAAGAAAGGGCATATGATCAAGCATAACAAGTAACAAGTGTTTCCAAACCACTGATGACGGTGACTGTGGACTGCGTTGTCTGCTCTTGTGTCCTGGGGCTTTGTCCCCTGCCTTGTGCTTAGGGCACACACTTCAGGGCATCACCCCTCTACTTGCCTTCCAGAAGTTTCACAGTAGTAATCAACTTATTGGTGGTGTTTGGAGTGTGTGTGTATGCTGCTGACTTCTACAAGGCTAACTGGAAGCTGCTCACATGTTATCAGCACCAGGTATCCATCATGCAGGGAACCCAGATTTGCAGATATAAAGAGGATGAGCCTGTAGCATTGCACTGACGTGTTTCAATTATACCCTTGCAGCGTAGATGCAAAGATAGGCAATGTCAAGCCCTGTACAAGTAGAAATGGTAAGAACCACATGGTTCTAGAAGAAAGCTCACCAAGTGCTGGGACAGTCGGAAAAGGCTCCAGATCAGAGACAGGGCTTGCACTGGGCCTTCCGTCCATCACAAATGCTTGGTAAGTGTCCACTGTATACAGGCACCAGCCAGAGTTTCGCAGACAGCAGTGAGCAAACCGGCAGCCATGCCCCGTCGCCATGTGTGAAAGGGGAACCAAAAGGAAGCCAGCACGCAAGACCCCTCGTGACTGAGGGAAAAGCAGCACCAGAAGAGCTCGCAAGGTAGGTGGCCCGCTGCTCTTTGCATCAAGTAGCTGAAGGCAGAGGTATGGAAGACAGACACCCAGACCCGGCTTTTACAAAGATTTGTTCTTCCGTTCAGAAGTGGACTGAGCATCTACAGTCTGCCAGACACAGGTGGAAAAAGAGAGCGGAGGCTTACGGAGGAACCGCCATCCCCACGTGAATCATCACAGCACAGCCAAAGAGCAGCACGTTCCGTAAAGCAGAGGGGCCAAGAGACGAGCCAGAAGGCCGGAGGAGGAGGAGACCTCTGACCTGCAGGATCTGTACCAGGGACCACAGCAACCTCTGGGTGGAGAGCAAGGGCACAGCCCTGAGGAGGCGGAAGGGTGTGTCAGAGGCAGGAGAAGGCATTTCGGAAGGCTTGCTGCGCTGCTGGGCTCCTCGCTAAGGGAAATGGGAACCTCCAGGGCAGTTCAAGCAAGGAGTGATATGATCCAATTTAACTTAAAAAGATCAACCTTTTTGCTGTGGGACAAAATTGAAAACAGGGAGACCCATTTGTGTCTCTTGCAGTGAATCAGACTACGGTAAAGATAGCTGGACCCATGGTCCTCAAACCTTTTGCACAGTATCTAATAAACTAATTTTGTGAAAACTTATAAGCCCCCACGTTTAAGATAATGGCAAAATTTTACATTATGTTTAAAACGTTAAATTTTTATTTTGAGAGAGAGCACGTGCGCGTGCACACGTGCAAGTGGGGGAGGGGGAGAGAGAGACTGAGCCACCCAGGCTCCCCAGAGACAATCTTAAACAGGCTCTATGCTCAGTGCAAAGGCCAGTGCAAGGCTCAATCCCAGGACCCTGGGATCATGACCTGGGCTGAGATCAAGAGTCGGATGTTCAACCAACTGAGCCACCCACGCACTGCCCCCATTATGTCTAAATAATTGCAATGAATGTAATTTCCCAGACATAAATATTGACTTTTAAAATAGATCATGACATCATTCCTTAAATGTATGAAATGGATCCCAAGTGCCATTTTGATTTGAAACCCACTAGCATATGTTTTTATAAACATACAAACAGTCTTCTTGGGTAACCAGAGTTTAATTAAATCCTTTACTCCTAAACTCATTTCCGTTCAAATTTTCCCACAAATTTTATCCTAAATAACAATGTTTATGCTTATTTATTGATGAACTTATGATTTACCCCTGGAGAGAGACACACACATATGTGCACATTAATTTGCAATTCCTGCAGATGTAAGCCTCATATTAAAATATTTCTCTTGGATTGAATTACTATGGCAGCCATTATTAACATATGGTTGGTGAAAGCAATATTAATATCTATATGCAGGTTTCGATTAAAACTAAAAAATTGAGTATATTGGAGGTTTGTCTCCTAATAGTATGTGGGGCCTTTTTTCCTTGAACCTAGCTCATACATCCGGTGATGAGAATTCCTGGAGTGGGGCAGGGTACAGAACCAATATTATCACTCGTCGTGAATGCATACACATAAGTGAACAGAACAAGAGGAAGTTTTATTACAGCAACCTAACACCGTTCTGGGAACCTCTTCTGGTTGCAGGTGCTACGGGAGAGCTGACCAGAGACTGCAGAGGCCTTGCAGGACTGGGAGGTGCTGGAACTTGGTGCAACCCAGGCAGCAGCTGAGACACCAGAAGGGCCACGCCCCAGGAGTCAGGGCAGCACACGAGGAGTAAGGGACAAAGTAAATTACCTGAAGTGAAGAGCTCATTGAATTTTCTGAACAATAGACAGGGCACAGCTGAAGAGAGGGTTTTTCAACTCAAAGTTCCATCAGGAGAAAGCACCTGAAAACTCAGAAAAAAAAAAATCAAAATGAGAAAAAGATAACAGAAAGCAATGTTAGAGATGTGTGAACAGGATCGAATGGTCTGATGTACAACAGTCGAAAGTTGTACTTCCAGAAGGAAGGAGAAAGAAAATGGAGTAGAAATATTTGAAGGGAGAATGTGTAAGAATTTTACACAGTGGGGCGCCTGGTTAGCTCAGTCGGTTGAGTGTCCGACTCTTGATCTCATCTCAGGATGTGACCTCATGGTTTGTGAGATCGAGCCCTGCGTCAGGCTCCACGCTGGGAGTGGAGCCTGCTGGGGGTTCTCTCTCTGCTCCTTCCCTTCGCTTGTGCTCTCTCTCAAAATAAACATAAAGAATTTTACAAATTGATAAGAATACACCAACCACAGATCCAAAAAGTTTGGTAAACCCCAAAGAGAACAAATTCAAAGAAAAACATGTGGACGCATATCACAGTCCAGCTTCTGAAAACCAAAGATAAGAATAAAAGTCCTAACAGGAGAGGCGCCTGGGTGGCTCAGTTGGTTAAACGTCTGACCTCGGCTCAGGTCATAATCTCATGGTTTGTGAGTTCAAGCCCCGTGTTGGGCTCTGTGCTGACAGCTCGGAGCCTAGAACCTGCTTTGGATTCTGTGTCCCTCTCTCTCTCTGCCCCTTTCCCACTTATGCTCTGTCTCTGTCTCTCTCTCTCAAAAATAGACGTTAAAAAAAAAGTTCTAGAAGGAGACAAAATTGAAAAGACACATCACATTCAGGGAGACTTCATGCGAATGACTTATCACAAGCAGTGGTGCCAGAATACAGAGACGGCATCTGCAAAATGCTGAATGTCAAGCGGTCCTCCAGACCAGTATTCAATACCTAACCAAGATATCCTTCAAAAAGTAAAGACGCAATTAATTTTAACACACGTAAAAAAAGGTATTTTCAGATCAACAAAAGCTGAAGAATGTCACCGGAAGAGGCCTTCAGGAAAGTAATGACGTTTTTCAGGCCACAGGAAGGTGGCGGCAGTGGCATCCCAGACCTGCACGAGGGCACGAAGACCTGGGCAGACGATGGAGTGGGTGACTGCAAAAACATTTAAAATAACTTCTTTAAAAAATTATGGAACAAATGCTTGAAGCAGATTTTAAAGTCACACGTTCCGGGCTTTAGAGCAATGCTGTGCGATACAGTTTCTGATGCGTTCAGTCACGGTGCCTGCCCAGCACAGGAGCCGCCGCCCTGGGGGGAGCTCGTGGGCACTTCCAGTGTGGCTAGTGGAACTGAGGAGCTGAACTTTAAGGCTGCATTTGGTTATAATTAATGTAATTGTATGTTTAAATAGCCACACGTGGTTAGTGGCTACCAGATCAGATAATGCAACCCACAGAAATAAAAAATACGATCACAAGAGAAGAAAAGATGAGGGAAGTCGGTGTTATTTCACTGTTTTGAGGTTCTTACCTGGTTAATCAAATGGTGTATGATTCCAAAGTGAGCCGTGGTAAGTGAAGGGTACTTACTGTAATTTATAGCTCAACCACTAATAGAAGTATAAATCTATATATTATATATGTTATATAATACCTATAGGTCAAAAAATATAAGGGGATAAGATGGAATTTTAAAAATACGTGAATAGTCCAATAGGCCAGGAAGAAGACAAAAAGCTCAGATGGAACAAATACAGAACAAGGTTGTGGCTTTAAACCCAACTGTGTCAGTTACTATATTAAATGTGAATGTGTGGAACAGTACAATTAGAAGCCGGAAACTTTAGGGGCGCCTGGGTGGCGCAGTCGGTTAAGCGTCCGACTTCAGCCAGGTCACGATCTCGCGGTCCGTGAGTTCGAGCCCCGCGTCAGGCTCTGGGCTGATGGCTCGGAGCCTGGAGCCTGTTTCCGATTCTGTGTCTCCCTCTCTCTCTGCCCCTCCCCCGTTCATGCTCTGTCTCTCTCTGTCCCAAAAATAAATAAACGTTGAAAAAAAAAATTTTTTTTAAAAAAAAAGCCGGAAACTTTAGACTGAGTAGAAAAGAAAAGAGAAAAACCACCTGACCGATGAGTTTACAAAACACTCTTGCAATCTAAAGACGAAGACAAGCTGAAGGTTCGAGGATGGGTAAAGCCGTGTCACGCAAACACCTGGCATCAGACCAGGCCGCCTCAGGTAAGGGCTGTCACAGGAGGCTGGTCCACGGGGTCAACTGTGGGTTGACAGGGTCAACTCAGCAATAAAATGCAAGAATCCTAAGTGCATATCGTAACAGTCTCCAGGACTCCTGGCTGGCTCAGTGGAGCGTGTGACTCTTGATCTCTGGGTTGTGGGTTCAGGCCCCACGTTGGGTGTAGAGATTGCTTAAAAAGACGAAATCCTTGGGGAGCCTGGGTGGCTCAGTCGGTTAAGTATCCAACTTTGGCTCTGGTCATTACCTCACAGTTCGTGAGTTCGAGCCCCGCATCGGGCTCTGTGCTGATAGCTCGGAGCCTGGAGCCTGCTTTGGATCCTGTGTCTCCCTCGTTCTCTGCCCCTCCCCCCCTCACGCTCTGTCTCTCTCTCTCTCTCAAAAATAAACATTAAACTTTTTTTTAAAGGATGAAATCTTTAACAAACCTAACATCCAAACGTTCAAAGCAAAAATCGACAGGTCTGAAATGAGATAGAAAAGAAGCTACAAATATAGTTCAAGATGTTAACATTTGGCTATGCAGTTACCAGAACGAGCAGGCAAAAAAGTCTAGAAGGCAAAGAAAGAACAACGAGGCCTGGACCTTTATGTCAGAACCCTGTGCTAGTTGACAAACCACTTGTGCGGCGTTTTCTGCGTGCCAGGTACTGCTTTAAGGACTCTGTGGGTATTGACTCAGGCTGCCCTGTGATAGAGCTCTACTAGACAGACGCTCCAATGGCCTGTATCACACCCGGGCAGCGAGGGCACAGTGACCTGCCCACTCCAGGCCAGCCTATACTGCCCTACACGGTAAGCAAAACTGAGGCTTCCTCTATATGCCACTCAGTAAAAAGGGTGCTAATTCTTAATGTTATAACTGTGAATTTTTTTTTTTTTTTAATTTTTTTTTTTTCAATGTTTATTTTATTTTTTTTGGGACAGAGAGAGACAGAGCATGAACGGGGGAGGGGCAGAGAGAGAGGGAGACACAGAGTCGGAAACAGGCTCCAGGCTCTGAGCCATCAGCCCAGAGCCCGACGCGGGGCTCGAACTCACGGACCGCGAGATCGTGACCTGGCTGAAGTCGGACGCTTAACCGACTGCGCCACCCAGGCGCCCCAACTGTGAATTTTTATAGTCTCTAAGAAACATAAATCAGAAGAAAATCCGCCACTGCCGCTGGTTTCATTTAACAAGATAATACAATGCGATTGCAAGTCCTGTGGTCCTAAGAATGTCACCCCGTGTCTCAGCATTTTCCCCTAAGCTGAAACACCTTCAGAGGCTCGGCATTATGCACCAGGCGAAAGCCAGACCCAGCAACCTGTGTTTCCTGCAAACAGACGTTCTCCCTGTCCAGCTCCGGCCCAGATTTCCGTTTCCTCGCACTGCTCCCGGGG